GATAATAAATAAAATAGAAGGGATTTACCCTTATACAATACATGGCACACGACCAACAAGTAAAAGGCCCCGTGGCCAACAATTAAAATACTTCAAGTCATACATGATTCCTCCAACCTTGTACCTCAAAAAGTTTATCAACACATGGGATGAGCACTAAGCCCATTAGAGATCCCAAAGATCCTAACCAATCACAACATAGAGATAAAAATGATGATAAATGCATCAAGACATACCATATAAGTAGTATGACATTTAATATCCAAAATATACACATATAACTGTGTTTTTTCTCAAAACGTTCCTCTTGACACATTTCCGTATGAAATCAATTCTTCTCTTTTACATTCCCATCATTACTTTCGAAAGAAAATATTTTAAAACCTCATTCTTTCTTTGATAAAACTTCCCACATTAATAGAAAAGAATCTCATTTAAACAAGCGTTCTGAAAATATAACCCCGCATACAAATCATAATCCCCATTCTACTTCTTAATACTCCATAACCATTTACATCCCAACCTATATATCTACAACCTTCCCTGACCATAGGCCCAAGGACTTAAAAAAAGACCAATATGAAACTGTTAACACACACACACACAGATATATATATATATTCAAACAAGATAACCGAAGTAATATATACTACCAATCCCGTCTCCACAATACGAAAACCGACGACACGTATATATATCCAAAACAGGATAACTGAAGTAATACATACAATCAATCTCATCTCCACTGGCCTACAGCACGGATGCAGATCCAACAATACCAATACCACATAACACTTTACCGGCCTCACTCGAAAGGAGGTGCTCCTCAGGTCATACTTTGACGGGCACAAACCAGAAGGGAACGAAGAACCTATCACAATGCACCATGCTTTGCTGGCTAAAATACAGCGGGAAACGAACCCACTTTTCACACTTTACCAAACTGAAAGGGACAAGGAAACCTCTGTCAAGGCACCACGCTTTGGCGGCTACAATACGGCGGGAAACGGACCCCAAACAATATCACATTAAAAGCATCCAAGCTAATCAATAGAATACTACACGGGTGTAATACATACACCTAGTTCAATTATCACCATAATAGCCACAATCCATTAATTACAGTAACTCATTTCCTTTAAAATATATACTGCAAACCACTGTTCCACACTGGTTTTCCTTTATTTCAAACAACCTAAAACACATCATTGGAGTACTAAACCTTAAAACCATAACTATTCAACAACAGTCTCATAATAGAAACAACATTTATAAACATTCCAATTACCTCTTTAACAACATAATCCATAACTCAACACTGGAATTGTCTATTTACAAAGTTCACTTACAACCAACATTATATCATCTCATATCACATTATCCATCCTATAACAGTACACATGGCATATATCTAACAACAATCAATACCATCCTCTACCGATGGCCAAGGAAAAAACTCTAGACACCGATTACATAATCCGAAATCATAAATACACCTTAAGTAATTTCACACTTTTGTTTATTGCCAACTCTCAAGTTTTATAAAAAAGGGGTAATCAGTTCCATTTTGTTTTGAAAGTAAAACCTTTGTACTCGAAATCCCAACACCACAGTGGCCACGTCCACCAACATTAATTCAAAACTCCATTTATTCATAAACAACCACATTATAACCCCATTTCTATTTAACATTAAACTTCTCTTTTATATTCCAAATCAATAAATGAAACACCCAATGTTTCCAATTTATATCCTAAACATGGTTTATTATTCACTACCAATTACACACAACCCACGAACTAACCAATATAAACCCAATTTCAGCTATATGCTTTTTAACAAAACTCAACAATAAACTATGTTTTTAAATGCCATAAAAATTACCACAAGTCTATCCATAGTGAGGTATTGAAGAGAAGCTCAAGAATCCCCACCTCTTGCAGTGAAGGGGAGAGAAGCCAAAATCCACCGACGACGAAAACAAGATCCGCTCAGATCAAAAGAAAGCCCTAACGACCCTCTACATTTTGATCTATAGGACTAGGGGTAGAAAATGGGTGTAACTAGATAAAACCCAAGCTTTTAGGTCCAAGAAACCCTAACAATGGCGAAAAGGAAGAGAGACAAGAGAGACAAAAGCAAAAAATGACTTTTTTAGCACACTGCGACCTTATATAGACACAGTCCGCTCGAGCGCAAGAAGTGCCGCTCAAGCGTAAAACACAAACTCTCAGAAGTTTTACAGACAAGTGACCACCACTCGAGCACAAGAAGTACTGCTCCAGCGAATGCCACTCAAGTGTGAGAATGGCCGCTTGAGCGAAGAATGGAAACTCTCAATATCTCTACAGATTTGCAAAAGTGCTAGTTCAAAATGGCCGCTCGAGCGCAGGAAGTGCCACTCGAGCGCAGAAGCACAATTTTGGGCAACAATAGTTTGAAAAACAAGTTACCAACATGTTCCCAATGCAACCAAGACATTCCAATAACCAAACGCAATCAACAATTAGTAGAAGCAAGACATGAACAACCAAAAAGGGCAATAAAACCTGGATCCAAAACATAAACGGGGTTGGATTCAAACCAGGGTCACTATACAAATAGCCAAAAAATCAGACTAAAGAAGTTCATCCCAAACGAAGGCTTGGTGATGTCATTAGGGAGTGAGGTAAAAACAATCTTGTTTCCATGAAGCCAAATATACCAATTTGCCATAAGCAGTGAAATTATCCTTTTGTCGACTTAAATTTTAGTCGTATGAGGCTATTTTAATTAGCAAAAGCATTCTGCAACAAAAAATTTTGGTCGTCACTTTAGTCATTAATACATGGTAGGGGAAAGTAATATGTCGCTAAAACAATTATTAGTCGGCAAAATCAAGTATTTGGCAATTAAACTTTTGGTCGTTGAACATATAACTACTGCGACTAAACCATTTGGTAGCCAAAAATGTTAGTCACCAAAAATATTGTTTCCCCGACCAACAATAAGCGAACCAATACCTTTGGTTGCCAAATGTGAGTAGCAACTTTTGAAAATCGGATAGGATCGGCCAGTTCAAACTAAACAGTCGATCAATCTAGGATCCTCCATTTTGCTAGATGGCAATTATGTTTGTGATATTATATTGCTTGGGAAAGTTGAATATAGAATCACATGGAAGTGTGACAAAGTACTATGTCACATTGAACTTTTGTTTATATTTATATATGGCAAATATAAACAAAAGTTGAATGTGACAAAGTCTTACATTTTCTTTCAAACATTAAATATAATTAATATATTTTACAAATAATAAATATAAGTATATTTATTGAATTTTAAATTTATCTTAAAATTTAAAAATAATTTAAATAAATGTATCTTAATTATTATGTTATTATTAAATATTTTTTAATAAATTTATAAAATAATTATGATGCCATGATTTGATTCCACTTTGGCCTGATGGTTAAACCGGTGACTTGGTTATCCGATCCCTTTTCTAGTTTGCTTACCGATCCAATTTTTAAAAACAATGGTGAGTAGTGAAACAATGACTAGCAAATTTAATCGCCATAAGTATTAGTTGATTTTCCCGACCAATCACTTGGTTGCCACATAATACAATAGATATGCTAACCATAAAAGGACATCATTTTGATATTTGGGACCAAAACTCATTAGTCGCTAAATTTTTTTTGGTTCTTGCTTTTTTTCCCTTTTTTTTTTCACCTTCTCTCTTTTAGTTTTCATGACCAATATTTCAAATTAGTTGCAGAACACAATATTTCTGTGACTAAATCACATTAGTCGTGGAAAATAAAAGCATTTGGCTACTATATTTTTTTTTGGTGGGCAAATATGTGTTTTTACATACCACTGGTGTCATTTATTTGTCCCGGCATGTGTCCAACAACCAAAATGACGTCGTTTCGCTAACTATGAATAAATTTCATTAGTCACTAAAAGTTTAATGTCTCCCATCCATTTTTTCACATTGCTGTCTCTATTTTTGGCGACTAATATTTCAAATTAGTCGCAAAAAATAGCATGTTTGCAAGTAAATCACGTTAGTCAACAAAAGCATAAACTTTTGGCTACCAATTTTTTTTTAGTTCGCAAATGTGATATATTCACAACAAAGATTTATTCATTCAAAAAAAAAAAAAGGGTGGCGAAAATATAATTTCATGTAAAAATCAATCAAAATATTCTGTTTCCAAACACTCTCAAAATATTTGGTATTGGTAAGTGGCTATTTTAATTGATTTTTTAATTTTTTTTTATGAAAAGATATGAAAAAAAAAAGTAAAAATAAAGATGTGATTTGATATTTTGACTTTTTAACTATTTTAATCAAAAAGCCAACACCCCAAGGCGCCTTTCTTTTTATGTCTATATCTTTGTTTACTATCATATACACAAATATATGTTTAGTAGTGGTGGTGCACAAAATAACTGCAACAATCACATAAATGGTTGATTTTAAATGGTAGATTTTATTATTTTATTCTTCAAGTTCAGACAAATGATTTTTTTTAGACACTGAAAAAGTGATTTTTGTTGAAAAATTTTAAAAATTAAAAAGCATTACATAATTTCAAAGAACAGTCAACGCCAAAGTGACTTATTCATTTTATAACATTTCCACTCTTTGAAATATTTTATCGAACTCTTTATTTATTTATTTTTTTCTCTCTTGAACATCTTTTTGATTTTGTTAATAATGGGTGTTGTAATTTGATAGGACACAACAACAAGTGCCTGGTGGTTGCAATTTGGGAATGAGGTAGTGGGTTACTGGCCAACCTCCTTGTTTTCATACCTTGCTGACAGTGCTTCAAAAATTGAGTGGGGAGGAGAGGTGCTGAACTATGCGTCAGGTGGGCAACACACCACCACCCAAATGGGGAGTGGTCATTTCCCCAAAGAAGGGTTTGGAAAAGCTAGTTACATCAAGAACATCCAGATAGTAGATGGTTCCAACAATCTAATAGCTCCTATAGGTGTTAGCACTTTTGCTCCGCAATCCAATTGCTACAATGTTCGAATGGGCAATAATAATGTCTGGGGCAACTACATTTACTATGGTGGTCCTGGTAGAAACCCTAATTGCCCATGACCAAAGTGGAAAAAATGGAGAATGAAACTAGAATATTATAAAGAATAATTATAATGACCAAATTTGGATATCATAATTATAATGACCAAATTTGGATATCATATTTGAGAAACATATGATTTGATGTTTTACATTACATTAACCACATATCACTTGATTTGATAAGCTCCACTTATGTTTATTTAAAAGGAAAATGACTGGTAGCTCGAATGTTTTGGGCTCGAATGTTGAAATTTCTCTCTCCTCTCGATCTCTTCCCCTCTAGCAGTTCACTCTCGCCTCTCTCACCTCTCTCACTCTCCTTAGCAGTTCCCTCTCGTCTCTTTCACCTCTCTCACTCTCAATAAACCTCTCTCTCATTCTCACATCATCCCTCTTTCCTCTCTACCTCTTCACTCTCGCCTCTCTCACTTGTCTCTTGAAGGAGTTCGAACCACGACGGAGGACGACGAATCACGACGAACTGAAGCCTTTTGGTGTTGTTGATGATTGAGAAATTTTTGGTCTTCGAAGAAGAGGAGGATTAAGGAGATGAAGGGAGGCGATGAAGAGGAGGATTGGCCCGATCGGCAGAAATTTGATGATCTGCAGAAATTTTTTCTCTTCTTTCTCTTTGTATCCGAGGTTCGATTGGCCCGATCGACAGAAATTTTTGGTGTTGTTGATGATGATGATGATCTGCAGTATATATATGTTGTTGATTTTTTTTTTTTTTTTTTTTTTGTGTTGGGTGATTTGAGTTTGGTTTTTGTTTGATTTGGGTTTGATTTGGTTACTGGATTGTAAATTGATTTGGGTTTGATTTGAAGAAATTCTTCTTATTGGACATGGATTTGGTTACTGGATTGTTTACAATTTACAAACAACTTATTGTTTACAATCACCAAATCAATTTTTGGGTTTGATTTGGGTTTGATTTGAAGAAATTCGTGTGCATTTACTGGATTGTTTACAATTTGATGATCTGGTGATTTGGGTTTGATTTGGTTTAATTTTTTCCGTGTGTTAATCTCTCTCTGCTCAGGTGATTTGGATTGTTGTTGATGTTGATCTGGATTGAAGATGAAGGAAAAAAAAAAAAAATTTGTGGATGAACTCAGAGCAAGCCAGACACCAGCTACACTTCTCCTCTCCTTCTTCTTCTTTCGCTTCTTCTTCTTTCTTTCTTCTATCTTCATGTTCATACTTCAGAAAAACACACGAAAAAAAAAAAAGACACCAAAAGACGTTGTTTTTGGTGTCGAGCCAATTTGGCCTCCGAATTCAAGCTACGAATCGGAACTGTTATTAAAAATTGCAACATGAAAATTTGGCCATGTAAAATGGTTAGCAGATTGTTAATTTAATATAGTATATCAATGTGATCACACTCACAATTATTTAAGGGTAAATTACAGCTTTTAAATGTTGTAATTTGAATCAAAATTTTATTTCGATCCCGTTGTTTTAATTTTAATAATTCGTCTTACAACCTTTAAATACAATTAAATTTTTCTCTTCAATCAAATTTTGGGCATTTAATAATTAATGAATTTTGTTGACACGTTCAAGCACCTGAGGTGTATAGGATTAGAAATAGGACAAATTACATTGGTAGGTCTTAACATTATTGCTTTGAATGTCATTTTGTCCCTTCCACTTTCATTTAGCTCATTTTGACCCTTAATTTAGATTTTGTGTCAAGTTGGTCCACATTGAAAAAATCGTTAGTGGTGTTTTGACAAAAAAATAATCCTGAATTAAATTGAGTTAAAAACTCGCTAAGTATGAGCAAACTTTATTAGCTTGCCCTTTAAAATCAATGAACACAGTGCAACTTAATAGAGTGCATTTTTATTAAAAAATGTTAAATTTTATTCATTGAGACTAAACTGGGAACAAATGTCATAAATTCATAATGACAAAATCGAGATCAATTTAAAATTACAGGGATCAAATATGACATAAGATCAAAAAATACAGGGCGTTACTCGAAAAATAATAATTACAAGATAGAAAATTTGGACGTAAGTTGAATGAAAAGTAAAATTGAAATTAAATTTATAGTGTAGGGATAAAGTGAAAATTATAAGTCAAACATAGTTCACTGACCCAATCTGCCCTTATAGGTTTTAGCATCGAGATACCAGCCGTAATCTAATTATACGAAGGCCTCTGAAATAGATAACAAAAATAAGGGGCCTAGCGAAAGCAATACAATTAAATATAGATTATCCAAGAGCTGCTAGCTGACAATTTATATGAAAACAGAAAATTCAAACTTTAATATACATATCCGAAGTCATATCCTGTTATGTTAATATCCCACACACTTAACTATAGCATCTAAGTAACAGACCACAAAAAGCAACAAAGTCTAATTATAAAGAACAACTGAGAGCTTATAACACGGATTTCAGAACCTTCAAAGTGAAGGCACAAATGATTCACTGACAACAGAACACGAATCTTAAGACAAATAGTCTTCGAGACCTGATTCCGAG